TAACCTGTTTTCCCCCACGCTAACCAATTTTCCCCCACGCTAACCAAATTTCCCCCACGCTAAGGAAAAAATCTTTTGTTTTCTGCTGACTTCCTGTTCCGGTCCGTCTGTGAGAATGTATTTTCGATACCTCTGATTTTCCGATAAAGGTGTTCTAAAATTGTGACGTTCTTTACTTGGTTATAAAGACAACATTGACAATGAATATCTCAACGTGTCCTTCGGTGTTTCGGCAAAAAACATACTAGTAGTTACTACTGAATAGTTTGTGAATTGGTCGATTGTGTGTCAGAAATATAAAATGGACAAGTTGACAGTCACATTCACGCTCTCAGTGCATTTCTTTCGTCTATCATTCTTTCGTTCTCAATTACACTGGACATCAGGCAAGCTATGGGGATAATCTATATTTGTTTCACACCTTCTATGGGGCAATAAACAATGCAGGGTGGAAGTGAGGCACGACAAGCTCGGTGTCTGCCTGATTGTAAACAACCGGGCGGCTGGCGCACATTTCAGGGTTCTTATTGACAAAACCACTCAACTCTTGGTGGCTCTTAATGGAGGGTCAAATGTAACAAATTTTCACTGAGTGGCTCTTAATTGAGGGTGGCGCTTATTTGCAGGTTTTTACGGTAGATTAATGACTTACCAATATGTTCCAGCACCTTGTGAAGTTAAATCCATACCACCTTCCATAGAATTGTAATTATCATCATCCATAATTTTAGATAATCCAAAATCTGTAATCTTAATCTCGCCACTGACTGATCCTTTACCCAGGAGTATATTACCTACAAATCAATTGATTAGATCAGTACTACAAACATAGTGAGAACATTCACAAGCTTTGTTGAGTGATGTATTTTGGGTTTACCCTGAAAGCTAATTATGCTATACAGTATGTGACACAGCATAGCATGACTGCAGGTATGTGGGATATAGTATGACATGATGACCTATCAATAACCTGTAGCTTTATGTTCAACCTGACTACAACAGTGTTGTGTCTTGAAACGTACAAGTGCAACTACAACAGGCTATGAATGAGACAGCAGAATGTATGTTGTACTCTGACGAAAATATCATGTGATACTAAAACCAGCAAACCATCATTAAGTTACCGGTATTGGTTACAAGGATCAGCATAGCTGTATCTGGATGCTCAAAAGAATAACGATATAAATAAGAATTCACAACTTACCAGGTTTTAAATCGTAATGTATAATAGGTGGTTTGATTTCATTCAAATATCTCAAGGCACTGACGGTCTGTAAGATAATTGACCTGGCTTCCTTCTCAGGCACCATTTTGTTTTGTTTCAGATGAAAGTCCAAATCATTGCCATTACAGTACTCTAGAACTGTACAAAATCTACAGAGAGAGAGAAAAATAATGAAATTCCTACAATTACATTGGTAATTACACTGTATATAAAAACACCCATGACCGTCAAAACAGAGCTGAGCTGTGAGCAGAAATAGCCATAAAGTAAATAGTTAAAGCACCCAGGGTGACCAAGTAAATGTATAATCAATGGATATTTCACATATTGGTTAAGGAGTTAGTCAACACGGTAATGGTTTCACTTCAAATTACGAGCTGGCAGGTTTGCATCGACACAATAATTCACCCAGATCTCAAATAAAAATCTGCATTTGTTCTATGTTATGTTAATAACACATAGTCAAAATATTTGAATGAATATATACTGAATACAACTGTTGGTGTGGCCATTGATACACAAAACAGACACCATGTGTTTCATTAAACATTAACACTTATCATATAGTGGCACCATGCTGCACATATTTGAATGGAATAACATTTGTGTGAGCTTCAATGTGTTAATTGGAATTTAGTAATCACCCTTGCAAACCATGAGACAAAAAAACCAATAACTTCCCATTTTACTTGAAAACACCATGTGAAAGACTGCATAAAATATTCACCATTGTAATTTAACTGAACAAAGCCAATGTTTACTGACTAATATGTAATGTTTTCATTTAAATTAAATTTTAATAATTCATAAATAAGTCTTTAAAAACAAAAAGTAAAAGGTTGACTTATGGAATGATTAGTGAGCCTATAGTATTAAATCCCCCCACATCAGTATTAATAATTGACAAATGAGATTTTAATTGAGTAACTCGTTAGTGTGTGACCTCTGAACTGACCAACATAGTTCCCCTTGCACACAATCAATACTTTTATTCCACATATAATTATATAGAGCAAACATTTTTTTTTAAAGCAATGCCGCAATACCACAACATTTTACACTTGTGCATGACATACATGTACAAAAACTAGCCACAATAAGAAAGCCAAAATTATACTGCAAATGGCTCAAAATGGATCCTAAACATTTAAAGATAAACATAGCAATGATTTTTAACTTGTATGCAGCCATGTTGATATCAGTTGAAATCACATCCCAGGTTTTAACAAGTGCCACCCAAGACTGATTTGTCATGGTATTCAAAATCTGTAGAGTTGTTACAGTTTTTGGTGCTGTCTACTGAAATTTTCAACATTTTTTGTTACATTCCAGTGAATCAGACTACGGCATGAGTGATGTGCCTTAATACAGTTGCACTGAGCTTTTTTCCTACATAATGATCTTCTGACATGTTTATTTGCAATACGCAGACAGTTTTGTCCCCTATAACAGAGCTAATTAATGACTACATGACTGTACAAACTGCCGCAACTATTTATCTACATGATTTCATAATATAAGTTTGTGACTAAAAAACCAAGAACCAGTTGTATAATGCATAATCATCATAACAAAGTGACAGTCGTAATTATCAAATTCGGCGAGAAGCTTTGGATGTTTGTATTTCTATCTTATGAAATAATACAAGCTGATAGAATAGTGTAATATGTACAAAATGCATATTGACAACCACACATGATAGAACCCTCACATATTAATGGAATATTATTGCAGCTGTGGTTATCTATTAAAGCATCGGCTGCTGAACATCGCCATGGATAGTCAATATGAATGGTATATAGCAGTGTCAGAAGGTCATGTGTTAAAGGGGCACTTCCAGTTGTCTTACAACAAATTTACTTTCTGGATTAAAATTACAATGGATAACAAAAGATAGATTAACATTGTAAACAACATAAACACTAGTGTCCCATGATTTTTTGGTGCAATCCCTGAGCTCGGAAGGTTCCCCTTTAACATAATGCTCTCAGTCGTTTTCTGGCTGCATTTATCAAATTAATTAAAAGCTTATGTCAAAAATGTGTGTCAAAGCTATTTTGTTTAACATTTTTAGATGTGCAAATAAAATTATAATATATGATTACAATGATGCTGAAATTTTCCATCCATAGTGATATTATCCAGTCTTATCTACCATCTAAATGTCCTTCCTAATATCAATACGAGGTATATAACAACTTTGACCTGTCTGTTTAAAGTGCTCTAGTCCAGTGGTTAATTCACTGTTCAGTTTGTGAGGGATGATTTTTAATAGTAAACTTTTTTTTTTGGAAACATTAATGAAACATCACTAGTCAACTTGATTGTAAACTAATTTCATAAACGTATTCTCTGACACATCTTTGATAAGCCATAATCTTAATTTTCATGAATGCAACTTAAAGTTAAAACAAGTTCAGAAACATTGTTTTATTTGTACCACCCTTCTATTGTTAAGAGGAATTTTGCAAGTTACAGATGGTTGCGACTCAGTCATCATCAATTCAGTTAAGTATGAGTAGAAAGCAAAAGATGAAATGAGTTGTCTATCTCAACTTATCTCTTCTCTTACCCTGAGAGTGATGACTGAGATCTGCCCCGTTCCCATACTGTCACCCTTTCTCCAGAAACAGCACTGCAGACAAGAGGTGCGCAAAAAACAATACAACATTATTTTTTAAAAGCTTAGGCATTCAAGTTTCACATACCAATTGCATTTAAACGAAATGCTGTAATGTTAGAATCATTGCATGTGAGCCAATAAGAAAACAGATATGTGTGGTAATGCATACACAACATACATGTTGAATGCACAATGAAGATACAAGAATGGAATGTATGTTGAATTCCTGCTTTCTCACAATACACTAATTATTATTGTAAATACTTACGAATTTGAATCAATTTCAAAGACATCATACAGTTTAACTATTCTTGGATGGTCCAGCGTTTTATGAATATTATATTCTCTTAAAGCATGCCTGGAAGAAGATATTTTAGAATATCGTTATCTTGGCATAGACATATTATCCAGCATTAACTTGTAATGACATTCACTTAAGATACTTACTTAATGTAATTAGCTTTCTTATCTTCCTTCCAATCTTTATTTAGTTGATGAACTTTACATGCCACATACCTTTGTTCTTTCAGGTCAAAACCCTGTAACAACACGTAAGTACAGGAAGTATGTTAGGATCCTTAACTGTTATCAAGACGTTTAATTTTGTCTGTAGTGATACAGACGAATACACTTGTTTACATTTTGTGTGAGCATGCACTGGTGACAAGAACAAATCATTCTGCAATCATGACTCATGTTTTGTTACACATTGAACTAGGCAGAATTTTGTGAATACCTTATGAACTTCACTAAAGCCACCTTTACCAAGTAAATGCAATAATAGGTAACGTTCATTTAGTACAGGATGGTCTTTAAATCTGGACTGGTCTTCATTGTGTATACGTTTTAATTCTCGTATATGCAAATTGCGTTCCCTTTCCAGCTTTTCTAGTTCTACTTGTAGATCCTGTTCCTCCTAGAAGACAACCATTACTTGTTAATACATCACCAAGTAACTTTAATCATTTTATTTGACATGATACGTTCTAATGATAAACTGTAAATGCATTAATTATTTACAAGGTTTTAACTTTGTTATTTCCATTGAAAAAGTGAAAATATAAAACAAACAAGCAGCCTATCGGCTGAGATAGCTCCGCTGTTAGCAATGCACATTTCAATTAAAGAACTGAAGACATCATTAGAAAATGAACAATATGTATAGTATCAAAGCAATCGGACTTACAGTTTTTAACAAGAAGTCGAAAATATCACTTTTTACCAGAAATTACAAAAATATTCACCAAAATAAATTAATTATAGAATCGAAGATATCATCACAAAATGAACAAATCTGAGAGATGTCCACATGTAGTACCTATATATGTAAGAATCAAAGCAATCAGACTATTGGTTTTTTACAAGAAGTCGAAAATATCACTTTTTACCAAAAATGACAAAAATATTCACCAAAATTATAGAATCAAAGATATCATCACGAAATGAACAAATCTGAGAGAGGTTCACATGTAGTACCTATATATGTAGTATCAAAGCAATTGGACTTGCGGTTTTTAACAAGAAGTCGAAAATATCACTTTTTACCAAAAATGACAAAAATATTCACCAAAATTATAGAATCGAAGATATCATCACGAAATGAACAAATCTGAGAGAGGTTCACATGTAGTACCTATATATGTAGTATCAAAGCAATTGGACTTGCGGTTTTTAACAAGAAGTCGAAAATATCACTTTTTACCAAAAACAAGTCATTGAAAATGACACAGTCCGCGTTAAGTTCTCTTTGTGCTTGTCATATTAAAGCGGAGGGGTTGTCGCAAGCGTGTCCTTGAAACTTGAGTTCCAAGTGGCGTATACAACAGATTGTTTATTTACATGAAAACACGTGTTTCGTGTCATAGTAATATGGCCAAAATAAAAACAGTCGTTATTCAGCCATCTTTGATCTGATTATGAAACACAGATATGTATGATATATGTGCCAAATACGAATGAAAATGGTACATAAATTGTGGAAATATAGTAGTAAGGCCAAAAAGTCAGATGGCTGTCAAACAGCCATCCTTGACCAGATTTTGAAACAAATTGTCATGGACATGCATCCTAACATGTATAAAGTACATGTATGTGCCAAATTTGAATGAAAACTGACAGAGCACATCCAAGATACCGCAT